CTTAGTCCACGGCCATCAAGGCCCACCAAGAGTTTTTTGCAGACCCTACCACTCGTGGGCGGTAGGGACCAGGTTGACTACCCATGGTTTAAATAAAATGCCCAGGGATGTCATTCACTAAAATTATATTTTTCATCATATCAGATAGTTATGCTCACAGTGAGTACAAAAAGCTTTGGATATTTTTGGACACTGAAAAAATCTAAAGTAATCATTATTGTGGAAGTCGTTCATGCTTTCTTGGTACAGTGGTTCCAGTTCTTACCTGCTCCTCTCAAATACATCAATAAAACTGTTGAATGGCATGAAGACTACATCGGTGTGCTCTTAGTTCATATGTTCACTCTCATGGGGTCAATATATTGAGAAGTATGGTTGGTCACCCTTGATGACGCTCCAGATAAACTGTCTAGCCTAACCAATTTGTTGAACCGTTCACCTATACCCTTTACATATTCTTCTGATGCTGCCCCAACCTTTGTGAACTTGCAATCACATACATGGGACGGCATTTTAACCGGCTCACATTACTGTAGGCCAAACTTGTAACACTGTAACAGAGCTCCCTGTAACCGGGCTGGTAACTAGTCAGCTTCAACATGGATGCTGTCCAGGAGGTGGGAGGGTCTGGGAGGGAGGGTCTGCTGGAGATTGGCAGGGATGTGTCAGCTGACCGGAGTTCACCGCAGCGAACGGTTCGCGGCAAGTTCGCGGACGGTTCGCGACATCACTACTGGTAACTCCACCAAGAACCTCTTCCTAGCTGGAACAGGGGACTAGCTCTATTCCCTCCCAGGGACTGGACGACACACAGTTCTGGGAGCTCTAGTTCTTACAAGGACTTTCCCCGCCGAATCCTCCAAGAGCTGGAACAAGCTGGAACAGTGATTAGCCTTTTCCCCTCCCATTAACCAAATGACACATAGTTTTGGGAGTACAACTGGAATGTTTTCAACTGGCCAGATGGCCTGCTTATACACAAAATCTGAGTACAGTGAACACGCCCAAGACACACCCATAAACACACCCACACAGTGTCACTGTGACAACATAAAACATAAAATATGAAAAACACATAAAACTACATATTTCCCATATAGGAACCCCCACTGTCTATACAGAAGGTCTTGATGGTAAGGTATGTCTTTTTGCTGATGATACTAAGATATGATACTAAGATATGTAACACGGTTGATGTTCCAGGAGGGATAAGCCAAATGGCAAATGATTTAGGTAACCTAGAAAAATGGTCAGAATTGTGGCAACTGACATTTAATGTGGATAAGTGCAAGATAATGCATTTTGTACGTAAAAACCCAAGGGCAGAGTACAGAATATTTGATAGAGTCCTAACCTCAACATCCGAGGACAGGGATTTAGGGGTAATTATTTCTGATGACTTAAAGGTAGGCAGACAATGTAATAGAGCAGCAGGAAATGCTAGCAGAATGCTTGGTTGTATAGGGAGAGGTATTAGCAGTAGAAAGAGGGAAGGGCTCATGCCATTGTACAGAACACTGGTGAGACCTCACTTGGAGTATTGTACTCAGTACTGGAGACCGTATCTTCAGAAGAATATTGATACTTTAGAGAGAGTTCAGAGAAGGGCTACTAAACTGGTTCATGGATTGCAGGATAAAACTTACCAGGAAAGGTTAAAGCAGGGCTATCCAACCTGCGGCCCCCCAGATGTTGCTAGACTACAACTCCCATGATCCCCTGGATATCTGTTTAATTGAAAGAATCATTGGAGTTGTAGTTCAGCAACATCTGGGGGGCCACAGGTTGGACAGGCCTGGGTTAAAGGATCTTAACAGGTATAGCTTGGAGGAAAGACGAGACGGGGGATATGATAGAAACATTTAAATACATAAAGGGAATCAACACAGTAAAGGAGGAGACCATATTTAAAAGAAGAAAAACTACCACAACAAGAGGCTTAAATTAGAGGGGCAAAGGTTTAAAAATATTATCAGGAACCCAGGGTTTGCAGCCTGCCATTAATGGGCATTGGTTAGGTGGTCCCAGGCAAGGGCAATAGACCCCTCAAAGCTCAGTCTATTTCCAATGCTTACTATGTTTAATTAGCTGCTCTGAGAGGAGCATAAATTCAGTCTCTGGTGCAGGATCATTTAACTTCACACCTTTGCAGTGTCTCACTAATACAGTACAGCTTTACAACGCTGAGGCTGTGAGTCTTTATTTTCTCATTTTTACTGTTTATTTTCTAATTGTCTATATGTTTATATGCCAGCCAAGTTATTCTGACAAACCATTTGATGCTCATAACTATCTAACACCATGACTAGTATTTTCTTTTGTTAGATTGTCTTAATAGTTAACATGTCAGGTTAGTCCAAACACACTTACTACACTAAACAAGAGCACTGAGCTGCACCATTAACAGGCTGTGCCCCTATTGATAAATATGCATGACTTTAGAGAGCCTGTAATCTTATGACAACTGCTAATCTTGTACCTGCAGTGCTGTAACAGCCCGATTGGCCCACGCGGGATCCTTCCCTTGGATGCACACATCGTGCTGGCCAACCTAGCAGACATTCCTCCCACTGCTGTGGAGTTTGTCTACCTTCTATCTCACTATGGGCATGTTAGTTTCACACAATCCAAAATCCGCTCTAACCTTACGAATAGTACCCAGCGGATACTAAGCTACTGAGCTACAGAAATAATCGTAGTTTAGCATGTTACAAACTTTTTCTTCCAAGATAACGTTACTGTCAGCCTACACTATATGTCTCAAATATGCTTGCTGCCATCCCATTATCTGACATAACTTGTTTCTGCTTGTTTACTATTTTTTTAAAAAATTGCAGTTTTTCGTACATGCCACAGTACTATGCCTCTTGAATTGCCTGTATTTAATGTCGTGGCATAACAAGCCTATCCGTCAAACTTTTGCACAACAAAAATAAAGAATAAAAAAATAACAAAAAAAATAATATCATAGTTACATAGTTACATAGTTGCACAGCTGAAAAGAGACTTGCGTCCATCAAGTTCAGCCTACCTCACATTTGTTTTTTGCTGTTGATGCAAAAGAAGGCAAAAAAAACCCCAGTTTGAAGCACAATTTTGAAACAAGCTAGGAAAAAAATTCCTTCTTGACCCCAGAATGGCAGTCAGATTTATCCTTGGATCAAGCAGTTATTACCCTACATTGAAAGATTATATCCTTGAATATTCTGTTTTTGCAAGTATGCATCTAGTAGCTGTTTGAACATCTGTATGAACTCTGATAAAACCACTTCTTCAGGCAGAGAATTCCACATCCTGATTGTTCTTACAGTAAAAAAAACCTGTTCTTTGCCTTAGACGAAATCTTCTTTCTTCCAGTCTAAATGCATGGCCTCGTGTCCTATGTAAAGTCCGGTTTGTGAATAGATTTCCACACAATGGTTTGTATTGGCCCCGGATATTTTTGTATAATGTTATCATATCCCCTCTCAGGCGATGTTTTTCTAAACTAAATAGGTTTAAATTTGTTAACCTTTCTACATAGCTGATATGTTCCATTCCTTTTATTAATTTTGTAGCCCGCCTCTGCACTTTTTCTAGTGCCATAATATCCTTCTTTAGAACAGGTGTGCAAAATTGCACAGCATATTCAATATGGGGTCTTACCAGTGATTTATAAAGAGGCAAAATGATATTCTCATCCCGAGAATGAATGCCCTTTTTCACGCATGACAATACCTTACTGGCCTTGGCCACTGCTGGTTGACATTGCACATTGTTGCATAGTTTGTTGTCTATAACAATTCCCAAGTCCTTTTCGTGTGTTGTTATCCCTAATTCGCTTCCATTAAGGGTATACGTTGCTTGTGTGTTCTTTACGGTGAAGTGCATAACTTTGCATTTTTCAACATTAAATTTCATCTGCCATTTGAGTGCCCAGTCCCCCAGTCTATCTAAATCCCTCTGCAGCAAAGTAATATCTTGCTCACATTGTATTATTTTACAAAGTTTTGTGTCATCTGCAAACACTGAAACATGACTTTCAATGCTGTCTTCAAGATCATTTATAAACATGTTAAATAAACATGTTAAATCAGGAAGTATTACTTTATTGAGAGGGTAGTGGATGCATGGAATAGCCTTCCAGCTGAAGTAGTAGAGGTTAACACAGTAAAGGAGTTTAAGCATGCGTGGGATAGACATAAGGCTATCCAAACTAAAAGATAAGGTATTTAGAAAATTGGGCAGACTAGATGGGCCGAATGGTTCTTATCTGCTGTCACATTCTATGTTTCTATCCCCGGATAGCCTGGATCTGAGCGCCCAAATTGTCCAAATAGCGCTCAGATCCATGCAGTGTAGGGGAAACGCCACTGTGTGGAAGTTCTGACCAGCCACCCACATGGTCCTATGCCCAAAACAGTTCCATGAATTCAGTGGTAGCGTCCAGTCCCTTTCTGGAGTTCCATGCGAAAGAATTATCAAATACATGGCTTATAGGTAGCGTTTGCTTGTATGGTTTATGCGAACAAACCTACCAAATGGCACTCTCCTGACATGGATAGGGAAGAATCAGGCATTTGTCAAAGTTCAGTGGAGTTCGGGAGTAAACATGTACGATTTTAGTTGCATGCGATCGACACCCAAACACCGCTGTCTGCATTCTCGGGAACAAGATGGCTGCCAATACAGTTCCCATTTGTTCGTGCATACGAATGGTGGCCATGCACAATTAGAACCCACACCGATTGAAGTGTCAGGAGAGGTTAACAAGGGTCAATAAGCTCAGAGGTGGTCCATAGTTTGTGGCTTGGTTCGGTTCCCGAACAGTCCACGGGAATCCCATGAACAAAGTCTTTCATAAGCCTTTCAGCATGGCCCATGGTCCTTGGGCAGGAGGCTAGCCAGCAGGCTTTCAGGA